CGCTCTATCCTCATATATAATTCAGCGCTTTGACTACAAGACCTAAAAGCAGCAGTAAACTTTACAGATATCGAACCTCAGGACTCTGAAAGATTTATTAATCAGTAACCAAGGCTGCATAGCAATTGGCATGAAATGACATGGAGGGAAAGCTTCAGCAGAAGCAAATACTGCTTCAAGGAGCATGTCAAGAGAGATCATTCAGCTCCAGAAACGCCAGCCGGTCAGACCGTTTCACAGTGAACTGATAAGACGTTGCTTTTTCCTTCGATGGGTTTTTGTTTCTGGCATCATTCCTTCACTTTACATACCTCAAGTCAGTGCCACTGCAGTTTGGAAACAAACCTCCTCATAATAACCCCAGTGAAATATTTTTAGGAGCCCAAGGCGTGTGTAGGGAGAGAGAGAGCGTTATATAGGTTCTCTGCTTAAGAGGAAGCAATAAACAATGTCAGCTGAAAAGAATGTGGTGGTGAGAGGCCAGTGTAATTACTAGTGGTCATATTTTATACTTGCGAGTTAAAGAAGTGGAAAATACACTGTGTTTAAGTGTTGTTCTTTTTACCTCATTACATCTCTAAGATTTGAACGTGCAGTTTTACTGTTTACTCTCCAGGAATGAGCAAAAGCCCAAGTCAAACCACATAGTTCAACTCCCCATGTCCGTCCCACTCAGCTCACTTTGTTCTGTGGAACAAAGTGATTTCCTCATTCACCTCATGGCTGTTTGTGGAACCTTGCTAGGCTCAAAATGGCTGAAGTCTGCTGACAAAAACGTTTACCTAGCTTGACACTATTTTCTAGGAAGCACCTCACAACATTTTGACATGAAAACGCACAATAAAAATACAACCTTCTTTGCTTCTTCCTTCCTTGATTCTTTCTTCATTTGTTTTCCTTTGCTTCCTTTGTTTCTTCTTTTCCTCCCACCCCCACCTGTGGGATACCCCAAGGCTCCCAATATCATCCACAGAGGAGTCAAGTTCCACATGTATGTGGATGAAAAACAAATCTACTTCTCTTCCTCCAGCTGCAACTCCAGGTCCACTGATGTTCTGTCAGTTTGTCAAGGCCTGGATGAGCGCAAACTTCTTGCAGCTGAATGTCGACAAGACAGCAGCCATGCTCCTTGACTCCCATCAACATTCTCTCCTGCGGCTCTGACCTCCTCAACCTCCGCAGCCTTTTACTAAGACTTATCAAACCTATGCATAACCTAAGCACCAGGTTTGATCCCCAGCTGTCTTTCCTACTCCACATCCGGTCCTTGATCAGAGCCACTTTCCTCCATCTCCTTCACATTGCCAGCCTCCAGCTGTACCTCACACCCAATGTAGCCGAAACCCTCGTCCGTGCTTTCATCATCTCTCCCATCGACTATTTCAATGCCCTCCTCACAGGTCTACCCAGCTCCACTATCCACAAAATCCAACTGATTCATAACACCACCATCCGCATACTCACCCACTCTAAACTCCATACCCTCATCACACCAATCCTCGCCAGGTTCCACTGGCTCCCTATCACAGAACAGATCAACTTCAAGATCCTCACACTGGTCTACAATAACCCTTCATACCCTGGCACTTCCCTACCTCGCCAATCTTCATAATCCCATTCCACCATTCACTGCTTCCGCTCAGCTGGCTCTGGCCTCCTGCTTGGCCCTCGTACCCTCCGATCAACCATCAGCAGCCAAGCTTTCAGCTACTTTACCCTGAAACTCTAGAACTCTCTTCCTCAATCCCTCCACCTTGCCTCCTCCTCCCCGTTTTCAGATCATGTCTGAAGACCTTCCTCTTCGACCGTGGTTACGGTCATGTGTTTGGCGTCCAGCTCTATCACTGTTAAGTGAACTGAGACTCTACACTGCGTGAAGGGCGCTATATAAATGCTAGTTGTTGTTCTTTCTTTCCATCCTCCCTCACTCTCTAATTGGCACTGAGGCTTCTTTTGGTGTGGATGAATCCAAGGAAGTTACCCACCGTGCATATCTTATTTGTGGAAGTTGACCTCCTGCTATTAAACATTGCACTGAGAGTAATGTCAAGGAGCAGGGTTATGTGATCAGGGTCATTGCTTGATCTCCACATTTTGCAGGAACACTAATTGCCCGGCCACACATTCTAACCACAGATTAACTGTGCTGTGTGAGAACATTGTATGAAAGTTTAAAAAAATATTCACCCCGATTGTGTTAACTATGGAAAGAGTCTGACCTTTTATATGACCGTAATGTCTGCGGGTATGCATGAGCTGTGTTTAATTTTGGTCTGGATCTGGGAATGGTTTAACCTTGAGCTGAGGGTAGAGTAACACAGCAACAGGATGTGACTGCTCTTTCCAAGGAGCAGCTCCATAAATCAAGCATCTAATATAATCATTCTGTGAGGGTGCAGATTCTCATGGATAAATGGTTTGTGACGGTTGGCCTTTGAAAACGAACGACCTGCCTATGTTTTGTGCCGTGTTTGAGAAAGAGGTTTAGTGCCTGACAGAGGTTGGAGGGCAACATCAGAAGGTTTATAGACATAAACTGGCTCTGTGTTTTGACTAGAACCAAATGTGGTAGAATTCCACCAAATTATCAGTGTTAACCGTTTGACCACCAAGTGGCGGATTGCAAATGAATGTTTCCAATCGCACCCTTTTTTTATTTATCTACTCTTTCACGGTGATGCGGTGTTGCAAGAACTAGATTTCCTGAGGCTCTGTATTGGATAAACAGAAAGCATAAATATGAGGAACTCTCTACTCATTTGGTTTAGAGACTCTTAAGCATGGTGATAGGTGCGTTAGACACCTGGCTGACCAATGAAAAGGAAGAAATTGACTTTCACGACACAACCTGAATTGTTTTTAAAATAAGGAAATGTCAAAGTCCTTGTATGATTTTTTGTTACCTTTGTTCATTGTTAGACTGGTAACACATAATGGGGTCTAATTTGCGGAATTTCTTATCTTAATCGGATTCTTTAATAAGGATGCCCTAATTGTGCAAAAAGAGGTTCGTTCTTGTAATCAGAAGTGTGTCACCTCGGAATTCTTCTCTGATGTAGTCTGCTTTCCCACTGAGTTCCATATAGGATCGATGGAAAGTCTTAACAGGCTTCACAGAATTACATAGAACATTAGAGGACAGGACCAAGCCACTTAGCCCAACAGTGAGCTTCCAGCGCACCTCATCCCATCTCCCTTTCCCTCTATTACCTTCTCCCTCATGTGTGTACCAAAGAATCTCATTAAGAGATATTACAAGTGAGACCTCAAGGTATCATTGATCTTCAGGAGAATTCTAATTCTGCTTCTTTCCCTCCGTGAGTTCAGCATGGATAAAGGTTGAATAAGATTCATGTGTGAATTTCAATATTAATGAAATAATGAAATTCACACAGAGATGAGTAACTCACGCTAATTTGGATCCTTAAAATTTAAGAAAATATACTTCTGAGCCATGCATCAGGGCTACTACCTACACTTTACATTATCTTAGCAAATGAGTCGGTTTGGTTCACAGTTGGGCTAATCCCTTATTTTTAGTACCTCTTTATTAGCTCACAGACCAGTATTGTATTTTTCAAATCTTGGAACGAAATCACTTCACGCTTTGAAGAAAAGCATTAAAAATTAATACATATTTTACTGTTATGGGGTAACCTATGATGGGTAATTGCATGTTGAAACAGATTAACAGTTACCTCTTTAAGAGCCCGGAACTGCTATGTGCCGTTCTCTCCTTAAATGGCATTAAATGAAACACGGTAGACTGTAGATAAGCAACTCTGCTAAGTGCAGTGTTCCTCTCTGCCAGCCTAACTGGGCAATAATTCAAAACTGTCAAGAATCACCGTTTTGTTGGATTCACTTAAAAGAAACCCTTTTATGTCTTAATTGGTGTCATTGGCACCAGAATCACAAATACTGCAATTCTGCCGCTAATACTCTGGCAGATTGCAAACGAAAAAAAAATTGAAAATGTTCTTTTAACTTTGTGATGAGCAGAGCAGCACTGCTACCACACTGTGTTGTCTTGCGTATTAAGCTCGGGGAATCTGAGCAAACTCCAGCTGTGCCTTCCTGCCCTCCCTCCTATCCGTGCGTTTCCCCACACACCCAAACACCACTTGAAATTCAGGCCTATTTATCAGACTGCACATTGTAGAGTGGTGGAGGCAATACACTTGATGTCCACCAAGCGAATTAAGGCCAACAGCAAAACCAAACAAATTTGCTCTTCCAAATTCGCATTGTACTTTGCCGGCTTTAGGATCTCATGAGAAGCCTTTTGGCAAATATCGTAGTAAGAAATTTTTTGATAATGATAAAGAGAAGTGGAAATTAACCCTTCAAATACTGTGTTGAAATGTCGTTCCAAACATCCCAGGCTTTTCAACTCGTCCCGTCATAAGCTTCACAAGAGGCCCGTAGAGCAGCTCAAATCATTGGCAAGATGAGTCCTGTTGAGGACTGCTTTTCCAGTCTTCCAAGTGTGTCAGCCTAGGAGCAGTGGTAACATTCCCGCTTCTGAGTCAGAAGGTTTTGTATTCAAGCCCCACATTAGGAATTGGAATCACATTGTCTAAGCTCACACTCCAAAGCAGTGCTGGAGGGTGTGTTGTATCATCGGAGATGCTGTCCTTTGGATGAGATATTAAAACGAGGACTTTTCTGCCTGTTCAGGTGGATGTTAAAGATCTCATGATACTATTTGGAAAGAGAAAGAATTTTCTCTCGGTGCGCTGGCCAACAAATCCCCCAAATAAAATTGGGGTCACTCACTCCATGGCTGTTTGTAAGACATTGCTGTGCGCAAACTGGCTGCCAGGTTTCACCCACAAAATACACAGTCAATCCACTTTACAGTATATCCTGTGAAGCAGTTTGAGACGTCTCGACAAAGTGACAAGGCACTATATCAAATGCAAAGATTATTATTCCTAACATTGAGATATCAGGAGTTAAGGGTATGTAATAATGTTGTTTTCTTTTCTCTTTATTAGGTTTACTTAGCTCACACACCAAGCTGGACCAAACGGCATCGCACAATAAAAGTGATAGTGGCCTTTCTATTGTAACCAGAAAGAAGGCAATTTCTACCGAAAGTGTTACAGTCTCAACTCTGCTACCGTCTCCCCTGCTCTCATCATCTCCATCCTGTGACTCAGGTCAGTGGACAGCATTATAAATTAAACAATTGGGAATCCAGTCATATAAGATTGTTTGAAATTAAGAATAGAAAAAGACTATTCAGCCCATTAAGCACACTTATATATGGATAATGCACTACAAACCTTCCTGAATCCCATCTCTTTGTCATATCCCTCAATATTTTTATCCCCCATACGTTTATCCATCTATCCAAGTAGAGTCCTGTAGCTCAGTGGTTAGAGCACTCGCACTTCCCTGACCTCGGTCCTAACCTGCTTTGCCCTAATTTTAAGGTCACATCCTCTCACAAACTGCTGGATTCACCGAGGGAGCCAGTCACTTCCTGAATGTATTGTGAAGCTCTCTCATAATTTTGAACACTTTGATCAAATCACTCCTCAGGTCCAGTAAATACAATCCCAAACCAACCAACCTTTCACTATTGTTTAGTTTCCCTCTAACCTCATCCCTTGTATCATTTTCATTTGACACTGACAAACTAAGTCTTCAAAACAGTATCCTGATAACAGTTATTTAGGTTCCCACCATGTGTTGTAATGGAAAGACATTTACCAGAGGTTTACCAGTTCAACAAGCTCTGTCTCCTTCATTGCTTACTCTCGAACTAAGTTGTCAAACTTGGTCAGAATAATCAGACCCAAGTGGAGGTGTATTAATATCATGTTATTCTTGTGAAACACCAAAACTATGAATTTTATCCGAAATCCAATTTGAATAGAGAACATGACAAGTCCTTTAACCCAGGTGGACCTTCATATTATTGCAAATATGACAGCTAATTTGTGCACAGCAATGTCCCACAACAGCCATGAAACCAACGACCAATTATATTTGGGGCATTTTGGACAGAATACTGGGAGTATACTCAGTATACTCTCTTTTCGAATAGTGCCATGAGATTTTTAATGTGCACCTGAACAGGAAGACAGGACCTCGGTTTTAACATCTCACCTGAAGGATGGCAACTCTGACAATGCAACACACCTTCAGCACCGCATTTGAGTGTTATCTATGTGAGCCCAATGTGAAGCTTGATCCAACAACCTTCTAACTCAGAGGCGAGTCTGCTCTCTCGGCAAGTACTGGCCTGATCCATGTCTCTCGCTTTGCCCATTCCATCATCGGTGGCCTGGCCTTTAGGTTTTCTGCATCCACCCTCTGGAACTCCATCCCAGAATCATTCCGCTGTGCCCCTCCCTTGCCTCCTTCAAGGCCTAACTCAAGTCCTTTCTCTTTGATCGTGCCTTCGGTCACCCTCCCTCTCCCAGCCGCCTTGCCTTCCACCCCACTTTATTCCATCCCCCAGCTCGGGTGTAAACCCTTATCTGTCCACCCTTATCTCAGCGCTTTGGGACGTCCTCCTGACGTGAAAGGCGCTATATAAATGTAATTTTGTTGTTGTTGTTGCTACTGAGACAGGCTGACACATGAGAAAGGAGTTTCTTCTTGTGTCCTGGCCAACAATCCCCCAGCTGGCTGTTCGGGGACATTGCTGCATTCATATTGGCTGCCACATTCGCCTACAAATATATAGTCACTACACATTACAGAGAAATCTAAAATCTTTGCAACATGGTAAGACCCTATATTAAATGCACATCAAAAGCAGAAGAAGGATCCACTTCACTTTGAAATAAATGGGGCATTCTTCAACTATTTCCTAAAAATAAAATATAAAACTGCAGCTTTAGGTTTGCTATGACCTTGCTCTTGTATTAATTGGAGCGGTCACATAAAAAACAATGGGGTCTGAAAGTAGGCAGTAAATCTACAGTTTCTCCTGACTGACTGGCTCTGCTTCTTTCTGGCTTTTTGCCACTGCAGAGTAACTAATTCCACCAGAGGTAATTGATATTGTCAACTAAAAAAAAAAGGAATTTATTACCTCAGTCCCATTGCTGCAGGACTTTGTTTGAACTCTACTCCTTGCACACCGTCTCTGCATTCTGATATAATACAATAGAGTCTTTTCACTCCAGACTTCTGAGTTAGGCACTGGGTTCCGTCTCTCAAGGGGAATGGCAGCAGGGTTCAGGCTTGCTATGTGGCAGGAACCTCACTGTTCTTATGGCAAACCCAATTTTGTAAATTTATGGCTCTGTTGGCACTTTGCTGAGAATGAGAGCAGGAATTGCAGCTGAGACGCTTGTAAAACTACCTAACTTTTAAACTTCAAAATCTGCTGTCAGAGTGGGTAGGTCTGGGTTTGGATCCTAAGGTCATCTGTTAATCACGTTTCCCCACTTGCACTGAATGAGCTTTCCAGTTCTTGTTCGGACACAAGAGAAACTACTACGTAATGTCAGAACATTTGGGTTTCCATACTAATAATAACAAGAGGAAAGTAGACAGGTATATGTAGGATGGACCTACCCTTTCCCCATAACCCTGTAGTTTGCTCCTTGGAGGAAAAGAGGACCATCACTGATATCCCTAGTATTACCCCCACAAAAATCCAATTCCTGCTTATTGATGACGTACCAGCATTGAAGGCAGCCTTGGATAAGCTCATGGCTGAGATTTAACACGCCTTCTCAAGGAAGAGTCCAAATAAGATGTAATAATAATAATCCTTGCATATGATATAGCACTTTGTTACGTTGTTGAGACGTCTCAAAGCGCTTCACAGGGTATATTGTAAAGTGGTCTGACTGTGTATTTTGTTGGCAAAACGTAGAAAAATAGAAATATTTTTAAAAAAATATAAAGATATATCTTCATAACATTTTTTTGAAATCATCCTATCCCTTAATATAAATAACATGTGTGGTTATGCCTCTAAAATGAGCATTTGTGTTGTGTAGCAATTGAGGGCTATTGCAGAATGAGTCGCAACAGAAGCAGGGTACGTGGCAGTATTTACCTCAGTTTGTGTCAGAACTCGATACAAACAACTCCTCAGCAACGCATGCGTTCAAATGATGGAACAGAAAACTGAGAAATTGTTTTAATGAGAAAATGGAAGGTTTCTGCAAATTTCCTGTCATTAATAAGGGATCCTTTGAAAAGCTTTGCTGTTCCCTTTCAACCATTCCCTTTTTCTGGTGGAAGAAAGAAATCTGCAAAATAACCCATCTGTTGAGTGAAATTTCAAGGAGGTTAGTGAGAATCTCTGAAGGTATTCCCAGGCCTTAATAATGTAGTAATTAAGCAGAACTGAAAAATGACCTGCTTAGCACCAAAACGACTGCATTCCTGTCTTTTCTAATGATGCACATGTTGAAGTCAGTTCAAATTACACACAGAAAATATAGCTTAATTATCAATGTAAAGCAGGCTTGAGAAACAAAGTCTCACTTACCACTTTACAGCTGTTTATATTTATCGCCCAAACTGTTAATCTGTGTTTTATGCTTTCAAAACGTTGATGATAATTCCCGGAGATCTTTTAGTTTCAATTTTTATCCCTCTCCTGTACCACAGGAGCAGGGATTGTATTGCGTTATACTGAGTGTGGCAACTTTATAGGTTGCACTATGGCAGGAAAAAAATGCTGTCAGTTGGGTGTGGATTGCACAGTTCTGTTTTTATAATGCTCCAACTTCTGATTATAAAGGTCTCAATGTCCCTTCTTGATGTCTTACAAATAAAGGAACTTGATATCAAAGTTGTGAGCCTGACTTCTCAAAAGCAGATTCTGGGAGACATTTGTAGATTTGGTTGCTGTAAAGTCTGTTTGCAAACCGCAGTTAAGAAATCTTGAAGAGACTCCAGCCTGTCAATAATCCCAAACCCTTTCTCCACCGCCCTGTAACTTGGCTGGATTCTTCCAACATTTGTTTGATATTTTAATCTAAGACAAGGAAAAGCACGGGTATTTAATAAAGATCTGATTCTGTACGTGTGTTGTAGACCCACACAGAGATAACCTTAACCCGCTGGCCTTCGCTAAGCTGCTTCTCATTAAGAGCAGAATGTCAGCGTTCAAGAGCACACATTGAAAACAGTTTGCTGCTGCCGAAATTCAGTGATCAAAAAAAAGAGAGTTTCACATTGGGAGTTAGAAACTGCATTTTACTTCCCATCTAGCTGTTTCTCACCCACAAGCTAAAACTTTTCAAGCTCTAAGCTAAAAATACTAAGCTTTCTAAAATTTCAAACATTAATTTAAACCATTTAAATCTCAATCTGGCATTGGGACGCATATCGTATTTGCTCTAATTTTCCCCCAGCATGAAGCTATCAAATGATCCATGCACATCTGGTGACTGAAATATCCCCTTTCTTTTTTTTCCTCTCCTCTCTCCATTCAGTGCAAAGCCTCAGTTCTTCGCCAAGGAGGAAACTGAAGAGGAGAGAAATCGAAACGATTCAGTGTGAAGTCAGGAAGATGTGCAATTACAACAAGATTCTCGCAACGAAAAAGAACTTGGACCATGTCAACAAGATCCTTAAAGCCAAACGGCTGCAGAGACAGTCAAAGACTGGCAACAACATCGTGAAAAAGAGGAGAGGCCGACCAAGGAAGAACCCCGAGCCCTCGGATGATGACTTCACAGACCAGATGCCGGTGCTGGAGAAGTGTGTGGACCTCCCCAGCAAACGTGGTCCGAAGCACAGCCAGATCCCAGAGGTTCTGGTGTCGACCAGTCAGGACACGATCATGGACACAATCGAGGCCGTCATTGGCATGGTCAGGCAGCACGAGCTGAAGCCAGAGAGAAGCCAGAAGCGAAAGCAGGAGGAGGAAGTTGGGCAAAAAGTGAAAAGACATAGGAAGTCCAAAGAGAACGAAAAAGTGGCAATCACCATGAATACAAAAAGGTACAGCAGTTCAAATGCTTCTGCCACCAGCTACCAGTCCGTAGCCTCCAATCACTGATACCTTCCTTCCTGCACTTTAACCTTTTACTTCTTGGTGAATGAGAAGGGAATGACTGAGACTCGGATGTTGGATAGTTTCTAGAAGATCACAGAACCAATCTCGCACGCATCCCATGTATGAAAGGGACGGCCTCATTCCAGCGCTCACTGCATTCTTCGCAAATACCAGAGTCTGTCATTGATGCCTAGGATTGTAATACGTCAATTCAGTTTCACAATTCTGTACAAACATTCCTTCTCTCCTGTTAACTGCTCTCTGTTCATGGACCCATTATGTGCCAAATGGGCAACATGTAAGCATATAAAAGGGTAAGTTAGTTCAAGTACTTTGGCAGCCTGTTGAAGATTGTATTAATGAGAAGTTCCTTGGGAAGGCAGGCAGGCAGCAATAACATTAAGCTTGCGACAGTGTTTCTTATATACTGGATTTATAATCAATATATTCTAGTCGATTAAACAACAAAACAAACAAAAAAAATATTCTTGCCGCCATTCAGGCAATACTCACAGAGCCTTAAAATGCAAAAGTGTTGTCCACCAAGCACTTTCTGCTTCAGTTCAGCTTCTGCTCTTGGTAACTCAGCAGATAATAAAAAAAAACAAAGTCATTAAAGAGCATATTCAATCGATAAGTGTCCCAGATTTATTTTATGTAGCGAAAATAGATTTTCCCCTTGATGGACAACCCCGTCAGAAAGAGACATGTTTCAGAAATAATGGATCGGAAGAGGTGCAAAGCGCAGAATAGATTTCAGCACAAACTTCTCAAGGGATCAGCTGGATTTTCCATTAACACCCACAGTTTTATTACGGGGCATATCCTTTCAAGAAGCAATGTAGTGCAGATGGTAAAAAGATTTCAATCAAATTACACTCTTTAATGACGAGAATTACATTTCGAGTCTTTCTAAGAAATAATTGAAATCCTACTCTCCCGCACTTGTCACTGAAATTTAAGCAATTGGAGTTCACAGGTGACTTTCTGTAAAGGTAGAAATTGAATTTGATGTCGTAACCCAGATCATTTAAAATAACATTGCGTACCCTCCTGTATGGCCTTACAGTTTTCCAAAGTAAATAGATCTTAACAAAGATAAAATATATTTTCCACAGATATATAAAATCCCACTGCATGCTTATTCATGCAATACTTCAGTGACAGTCCTCAAAGAAACTGCAAAGTTTACATAGTGCAAAGTATCCCAGAATAGTTCTCTTGCATCATGTTATAATTATCCCCCACATACACACAGACACACACATACACACTCGCAAACTTGAAACATTGGACTTATCCACTTTGAGAAGTTGCAGAACATTAAACTTTACAATTTATAGTGAACAGAACGGTCATCTTTTCAGCAGTAGCCTGTTAATTGGGATTCCCCGATTGAAAAAAAATCCTATTTATTAGATTATCCCCATTACTTAAAACCATCAATAACTATTTAAACATAGTGAGAGTGGGTCAGTGCTCCAGGAAGATTTCTTTTACACAGGTATTTCTCTCTTAACCATGTCCCAGTTAACAGCTTCATTTGTAACTCACTGTCTCCCAAAATATTGTATGCAAATATCCAAATACTTAATACTCAAAGACGTGGCTGTTATAGTGTATCCCCAGAGTTGTAATTGTCTTGTATCTTGGTAATTGTGTTTTTTTTTGAGAATTGGTGAAAACTATTACAATAAAAGCTTCTGAATTTCTGTATTTCATTTCCCCTTATGCAAAAAGAAATTAAGTGTTCTTATGAAGATAATCCAAAACATATTTTCAATTATTTTTCAAAATGAGTAATTGTGACTGCAGTTATATTTAGGCAAAATGTTTATATCATGGCAGCCTTAATTCAGTCAAAAAAAACAGTAGCCTGTTGTACATAATGTAATTACACATCTTTGACCTGCATGGGTTCCGAATCATCAATTGTCTGTGTAATTGTCATTTTAACTGTTTTCAATTGAGTCTTAGCTATCAACAAGATTAACAGTTTATTTTGATGCCAAACACTTGTTTTAATGCAACTGGGTTTTGGGAATGGGGCTGATTGGAAACAAATCAAAGAGACGGTGGGGTTGGGGGGGAGAAAAAAATCCATAATTCTAATATACAATGTTTAAAAAATAGCTGACGCCTTTACAATTTGGTACATGGTATTGCTGAAGCAAAACCATTCAAATGGCAATGACATAATTGTTTTAATGGACCACAGCATTAACAAATGTAATCAGCTTGAATGGTGGGCCTGGTAAAGCACAGTCTAGTGCTGATGTGAAATAACGTATTGTATCATATCTAGTGAATGCCTGCCAAGGTTGCAACACTAAAACAATACAGAGACATTGAAAGAGCTGCCAAATGTGTCGACACGGGTTTCCTAGTCAAATCCCAGTGTTTTATTTTCACTTTTGTTCTTTTTTAAAAAAAAATAAAAAGCAATTTATTGCCGAAAATTGTTAAGATTGCAAACGAAGTTTCGAAAATGTACCTTTTAAACGTGGGGCACAAGATCCTTTTACATAGTGCTGGCTTATTTTAGTCTGTATTCATAGTGTTTTTAAATCTTTTTTAGAGTGTATTTGCATGTTATTATACTTGACTGTATGTACACATATTTTAGACAAATATTATATTTGTATTCTAATTAAACATAGAGCAAACTTGTACATTGTTTGTTTGAAATGTTTTTTGTAACAGTTTTTATTCATGAAGCATTTTTGTACATTGAATAGATATGAACTGCTGTTGATTGGCGCTTATGTATTTGGCATGCTGATTGTCATGCTTCTACATATAGTTGTTGGTTTTTAAACTTTTTTTCTAAAAGAAGCTCATCCTTTTGCTGCCAGAATCAGGTTAGCAATAGAGCACTTACTGAAAAGTAATCTGTTCATATGTTATTCATTGTGTGAAAATAAAGAAACTTAATCGAAACCACAAATCTTGATTGAAACTGTGTTCTTTGCTTTCGTGGGTTCATCCGCATTTGCACGTTATTTAAAAGCTGCCAAATTCCCCCTCCCCAGGGATCATGTGAAAATTTCATCTGTTCAACTTCAGCCAATTAGTCATCCCCTGTGTACTTACTGTAATGTATTGAAAAGTCTAGTGCAGAAGATTCATCTTCAAGTAGGTGTCACTGTCCCGCAAACATGGAAGGTACAATGGGTGCATAATCAACCTGCTTGGTCCAGGATAATATAATGGGGTCTAGTTTAATAATAATAATAATAATCCTTGCATTTGATACAGCACTTTATCACGTCTTCAAGATGTCTCAAAGTGCTTCACAGAATATATTGTAAATTGAATCGACCATATTTTGTGGGCGAAAAGCGGCAGCCAATTGTGCACAACAGTGACCCACAAACAGTCGTGGATTGAGTGACCTCATGTTTTTTCTTTTGAAGAGATTATTACTCCCGGAAAAGCGATCCAGTGATCCCCTAAGAACCGGATTCCTATTTCATGCTAGGTAAACAGAGACGTGTGGAGTAAGGAAACTTGCCCAAAATTTCACCCAGCTGGGAATTGAACCCAGGTCTTCTCGCTTGTGAGGTGAGTGCTCTAACCACTGAGCTGTAGGACTCCATATGTGGTCATGTGTATCTGGATTCCTTAATAATGGGACTCCTTTCCATAACAGGTAACTATGTCTGTCTGACCTGCAGGAACTCCACTCTGACCAAATTGACCTTCGGAGCAGAATTCCTCTCTGCGTGACCAACCCTCCAATTTTTGTTCTTTATATTGGATTTGTGAATAGATGACAATTCCAAGAAAGGCCTGTGATTTCACTTAATGTAAGAATCAAGCATGCAAGCAGATTTGTAAAACAATAAAAATTTGTATATCAGTAAAAGGTCCGTGATCAAAATTAATTTTCATTTGAATATTACAAGCGTGTAGTTGAAACAAAGTGCAGTTTTGAAAAGGGTTGGGTAATCTGGCACTGGGTTTATATTGATTCAGGGCAGCCCTGTTAGAATGCACCCTAGTTAAACATGGGTTTAAACCACAGTGTGCTGGAAATTTAGCATGCACAGCTTCTGATGACAAGCTGACTTCCTGTGCTAAACAAATGTCCAACTTCCAGATCTTCAGGTAACTGCTAATGTCACTTCCTGCACATTGCCCACATGCACGCTATGCACAGGAAGCTTCATCAGTAACACGTCCTTCACACCGCACATGTGCAGAAAGTGCTGCTGCTGATACTTTCTTAACGGAGTGATGTCAGTATTACTTCCTGTGCAAAGGTCAGGAAATTAAGTTACCCAGAAGTTGGCCATTTTTCAACAACAACAATTTTTCGCACTTGGTTATACCACAGCTTCAGAGATATTGGACCCAGATGATTGCATTACAATGGGGTTGCCCTGTACTAATGTCAAGATACCAGTAGTCATCTACATTCTACAGTACATTCTGAACAAAGCCAGAAAATATCAGCTACTTTCCCAACAAAATTGCCTTAATACAGCAACAACAACAACTTGCACTTATATAGCGCCCTCCATGCAGAGTAGCGTCTCAGAGCACTTAAGAATTAATCTCTTTCATACATGTTTTTCAGCATTAGGTCAGATTTTGAAGAGAGAAGTGTTCCAATAATCACATTTTCTGATCCAGTCTTGAGTTTGTTAAACCTATGAAATATTTTGAGCCCCATTTGTGTAGTATGTTATAGAGAACCATCACTACAGTTTTTGTTCCATGTAACAAAAGACCATGAGAATATAATAATAATCCCTGCATTTAATCCTTGCAGTTATAAATATAAATAGCGTTTAAATTTAAACAATAGGGGAAAAAGGGAAAGACGACTTCAAATGCAAAGAAGTAGGTATTGAGACAGACTTTGAACGAGATGAGAGAGGGAGAAAGTTAGAGTCACTCTGGGATGGACCTCCAAGGAGTGGGAGTGGGTTGGCTGCAAGCCCAGCTGTCAGTGGTGGGGTGGAGATGATTATGTGATTCCTGTAGACCTTATAAAGTAAAAAAAAACGTAAATATATTTCCTTATTGAGAAATCCCATTAGAATTTTCCTCAATGTGGTTTTCCGTCTGGCTCTCTTGGTAGCATTTTC